TGCTGTATCTGATTCTGATTAAATATTTGATCACATCTCCAACATGTGCAAGATGTACTTACAAAATCTGAAACAAACAGAAAAGAAAAAAAGCCACCTTGTTAGTTGTCTTAAGCAAAAGTATAACTGCACATGAGCAAATATTTCCTATTACAGAGAAAGTGTATTCCCAAACAGCAGAATAATTCCTTGTATTAGTCCTCTTCAACTTGGTTTGACACAAACAGTAACATATTCTAAATTGCTACAAAAGAGTTTTCTGTTTCAGAAATTTAATGTAAGAGTTGTTTTTAATCAAAGCATGCTCAACTTCTTGTATAGAACTCAGGACAAGAGAAAAACTAAGGAGAATATGGAGGAAAATGCTTTAGCCTGCAGAGGTTTTCTATAAACTTTACTCATGTCATATGACAATGTATAAGGATCATCTCCTGTTGACTCACAAATTCAAGGAATCCCTGATAAGCAATAGAAAACAGAAAGACTGCTTAAATATTAAAAGGCCTCTATCAATTCATTATACTTGCATGAAATATGATTATTTCAAATTACTAAATAGGGGTAGAAAAATGCCATTGTCTGAATTTTTAACAAACACCAATGCCAGCCATGGAAACAAATATACAAGATAGAAATAGAGGATGCATTTTCTTTTGTAGTTTTTTTTTTTTTTCATTCTACTGTAAGATTTATTTCCTCATTGTGACTAACCATACAGATTATTTCTTCTGAGACTTCCTGAGTCCATAAAAGTACAAATAGGTATAATCTGGCAAGTCCACCTCCCACAAAACTCTTCTTTCCTGGCATGACTTAAAATGTATGGCTTTTAATATTATAAAAACTAGGGCATTGCAGTCAGTATGTTTTTGAAATCTAGTTCTGATGCTCCTGCTCTGACATCTACTTTCTTTTATCTCCAGCCACCTGCATGTTGTCTATGCAGCTGACCTCCTAGATACACACAACCCAACATCTCAATCAGTTACATCAACTTCTTACTTCAAACACTAGTATGTGAACTAAGGCTGCTGAAAAACTTACCCACACCCATGTTGCCATTTTTGCTGAAGAGTCAGAAATCTCCAGAGAATGAGTGAATATTAAAGAGTCACATTACAATGCCTCAACTTAGTCCATCCCACTTCTCAGTTACACTGGTCATGCAACATGAATACAGGAGGGAGACAGGAAATACAAACTTAGCATAATTTTTTTTTGTTTTAAATGATGTCAGTATCACTATTTCCAATACTTGCCTTGTCATTTTTGGATGAAGATCTTCTTAATACGATTTAACCATTATAGAATATAAGAGAAAAAAAGGAAATATATTTTCCTTCCCTTCTTTTCTTTCTTAATTCTTTTATTTTTTTTTCCTTTTCTTTCTTCCTTGTTTTCTCTGTACACACACACAGATTATTTTAAAATAGATTTCAAAACTGTTGAGGAACAGGCTAAGCTGAGACAAGCCAAGAATAGCATTTGGACTCTTTCTACAATACAAATTCCACATAAACCACAGCAATCTTTATTATAACATTTCCGTTTTATGTATATAGACACATTATGTTACATATTACAATATTTCATCTATGCAATAGTAAGTGAAATTAATCTGTCCTATAGTTATTAAGAAAAGAAACAAAGAATTCCTGTCATGTTCCTACTGTACTGGTTGTGAAAGACACGGGAAGAAAGAAAAGTAGGGCAAATGAGGAAGATGCAACTAGGTGATTTGGCTTCTCTATGACAACTTAATTTTTCAGAACATGCCATTTTTACAGTGGTATTATTTCAAATGCAAATCTTGCAGCTCATTTAATCAAAAACCACGTGAGTCTTGAGCTCTCTTTGAAATATGGGTTGTACAGAGGTAAATTTGAATTTTATCCCTATTGCCATTGGCAGAGGAATGCAATAAAACAAAATACCTTCTGTGTTTCACTAACAAAAGTCACATCCATCAGCTATGTGAATGTGTTGTGTCCATGCTTTTAAATGCCAAGTGACTATACCTTAGATCCTTGTCTCCCAGTTCATTAACACTGAAAACTTATAAAATGAAATGATAAATTTACAGAATAAAACCTATTAAATATATTCTCATTCCCTTTTGCTAGTGAGCGTTCTTAGTCTAGACTGCCTTCTGCTTTAAGGGAAAGTAATAGTAACACATTGCTATGGAAACCATTTTTTTTCTTACTAGAATTATTTCATTACCAATTATGCTGCATTTTCTGCATCTCAGAACTCCATAAGCATGCCCTTGCTTTTACATATAGTTCTTATTTTGACTGAATTAAACTTGCAATATCCTTCTCCTAAAGTAACAATTTTCTTGCTCCCAAAATATTGTTTTCACATTTAAGTAAATTAGTAGATCAAAATGAATCCATAATCTTCTTAATCTCATAAGGTATTTTCAAATGTTATTTAATTTATTTAAAGTGTATCAGGAAGAATGATGAAATTAAATTATTGATCTACTGGTAAGTAAAATACAGAAAAGTAGTATTTTCTATTTTACTTATACTTTCTAAGGACTCAGACTCTCTCCAGCCAGAACCTTATTGAGCTTTGTACTTCCCTGACGCTTGCAATGAATATAAATAGCTGTCATAAATTGTGCCGACAAACTGCTGAAGGAATTCATACTGCAGAAGTAAAGATGCTTTACAATGCTGCTATGCCCATTAATTCACAAACAGAACTAGCTCTAATATCCTTACAGTATGCTTCTGCAGACGCACACACACTTTTGCAGAGGTCTCAACTACGCTATAATGCATGCTTTCTATAGATGATGGAGCACATACGTAATTCTGAGTCTGTTTTAAATAAATGTATTCTTCAGTGATTAAGGTTCAGAAGGGGACACTACAACAGGAGAACATATTTGTTGAATTAATGAGCCTAGTCATAACAACAGTAGGCTTAAGATAGTCTCAAACAACATACAAATTTAAAAGTTTTAAACCGTAATAACTTAAGATTTAAAAGATGTTTAGACGAATGTATATTAATATGCAGTATGAGTGTAATATGCAGATATCTAACTGTATTTACAATATATTTAGTATATATATTATAAATATAAAAATGCAAATATGAATGCACAGATAAATAACTAATGCACATGTAAAAGCTTTTCTATCAAAGGTACTTGAGAATGAAAATTTAAGTCCACATTGTATTCACTATTCATCTTACAGCAAACATTTTAAAAACCTTCTCTTTCAAGATTCTAAAACTTCAAAAGTACTATACACCACCATGCAAAAATAACTCAAGAAGGCCAAAGGGCAGAAACACCATCGCTGGACTAATGCAGGCCTCTGTCACACCTAATAGTTCCTTATAAAATATAGATTGGTAAATTCTGAAATAGCACCACTAAAAGCAGTTCATTAATTGACTACTGGGACATGTTCCCAACCTGTGAGTGCCCTGTAGGACTAGTCCTGCTTCAGATAAAACAGAATTATCTAGAACCTTCAATTTACACTAATCATGTTAGAATTTACTTCGGACAAGATTAAGAAACAGACATTTGAAAAAGCACCAGAACTTTTTATGTTGTAACAGTAACAGAAAAAAATAAGAAAAAAACAGGTCCTTCGGAGTAGCATATTCAGAAGCTAGTTGTCTGCTGAGTGAATACATTTCTGTAGCTGTTAGACCTTAGCAACAAGGTTACTTAGATTTTAGTTCTTGCGATATCATAGGTACAAGAGTACATCAGAGCTGGCTTTGAAAAATCTAGTTCATGTAGTACTTCTACAGCTGTTCTAATCTGCTTATTTGCTGGCAGGATACACAGGTTAACCAAAGTGTTCAAAGCATCTACCTGATCTTCCATCCTCTTGCTAGAAACTTGTTTGTTATTAACCTTTAGTTTACCTGTGTCCTGACAGACCTTTTGATCTGCGCTTTATTCTCTTATGTGTGTAGCTGGATCTCCTCTTATCTTACTGAGGGAGCTGCAGGTAATCAGCATAAAGAATGCTCTAAACATAACACTGCGATCAGATCACAATATAGCAATCAGACCTTTTCCCGTGTAATCTGAGAAACATCTTTAAATACTCCTGAGTTCTGGCTTCTCCTGTGATTCTGAAGAGGTATTTTGATTCAGAGTAATTCTGTAAATGTTGATACACGATAGATTTAGAGTCAAGATTTGCACATTTGCAGGTTTGGGTAGCAGTTGAAAAACAGTTTTGGAGGCTTTGTGAAATTAAAAAAAAATGACAGAGGTACATACATATTTTTTGGACCTGAATTAGAGCATTTTAAAATGAGAAAATCCTTTCACAATCTGGCATTTACAGGCCTGAAACTTGTAATTACAGAATGAGTTCACCATCAAGTGATCCAAGGGAGAAAGTTGGATTTTAAAAAAGTATTAATAAAGAAGATAAATTATGTCTAAGAGCAGAATAGAATTCTACAGGAAAGAGTTTTCAGGAAATAAGATTCCAATAAAATTTAAAAATTATTTATTAATAAAAAATATTATCTTAAAGACTACATTTTGAGAAGTTAGATGAAATCAGGTTTAAAATTTTTTTTTTTTCAGAGTTTGAATTTTGCTTTCATAACAACATTCAAAATACAAAGTCATATTTCAATTTAAAATCTAAGATGCTTTTTGAAGTGTTGAAAAATTCTGACATAATTTAAACCCTTAATTCCATTTTTTGTCTAAAAAATTGAAGTCAGTTTCAAAGGAAAACTTCTATTCCTACAACATATTTTCTAACAGGAAAATATAATAATTCATTCAGAAAGTGTTCAAGTATCTTTATCAATTTTTATAATAATAAAGCTAACAGTTTATTATAAATTGCAGCTTTACAGACAACTTATTTAACACTGCTTAACAATGAATTAATCCCATTCAAGGTATTCTGGTTACCACAAGTAACACTAATGATGTCTTCCAGAATGAGGCAAGCAAACATCGTTTTTTCCTGTGTGAGCTCCTTGCTATTCTATTTATCTTCCAGCCATAGTTGGAGGTCATTTTCAAACAGCTAGATTTAATGAAAATAAGAAAAGAATTTAATACTCTTGAAAATTCCAGTTTGGATACTTGTGTAACATTTCTATGACTCTTTGCTAGTCCTAGTTGTTAGAATTAAGAGACATCATGCACAGGAAAGGTATACAGCATATGTTGTATTCAAGGACAATTGCTATTCTATCCACCATAAAAAAACCCCTGGTGACTCTCATTCACTGTGATTGGGCCAGGATAAAATTGGGAGGCTGAAAAAGCCAGCAAAAAAACTGTAAACTTATAGCAAAAGATTGTTGATCTGTATGAATTGTTATGAAAAAGATTTTTTTTTTTTATGTGGAAAACTAAAGTTATAAGCTACTGTAAATGCATTCATGACATAATTACATTATATGCACTGTGGTTTGACTTAAGAGTCATGATTTTTGGTAAAATTTCAAAGAAAACCTTATTAAATCATGATAGATAATGTTTATTGAGAATAGATTCTGAGCACCTATGATATTGTTCTAAAGCAGAAAACAGGAGGATTGCTGAATACGTACTATGTTCTCATGATGTTTTTTCATAAAGACGTAACATTGTACCTTCAATAATGAGTTGCTGTTGCTCAGGATGTTAAGATTAAAGAAAGTTTTGCAAACACCAGAATCAGTTAAGAGCTCTGAAATCATTACCTTTATTGCTGCCTAAAGACATAATGCATTGTAAGCTAGTTGTGGCATTTCTGTTCTGTAACTTTCTAAGCTTTTTTTTTTGTACTAATATATATGCACTATGTGTATGTCTTGGAACTAAGATTACTAATGAGGGCAAAAGGGTGCAGCACATGATATAACATGGCCTTCTTTTTAGGGACAATATTATCAAGTATAAAACATGCTATATCATGTTTCATATCTATCTTTTCATCATACTCTAGTAGATGGATTCTGGGCCGTCACATTCTTATATTGCTTTAATTGCAGTGTTTCAATTACAGTAATGACCAGTAAAAATTAATGGGAGTTTTTAAGTGATGTGAGATCACCCTCCACAGGAAATACTGCAAAATGCAGAATTCCATTGTATCTTGCAAGTTCCAAAAATATATCCATGCACTGCCATACATTTTCAAATAGTACACAGCATTTTTCGCCTATAGTATATCCATATCACTCCATGTTTACCAAAACTGTGAAAACCAACAGAAAACAAACCCCCTGAAAACAATTCCCCTTAGACACCAAATTCTCAAATCTCTCAAAAGACACATTCTTAAATACAAATAGGCAGAGAATTGTGACATAGGATTTATCACATATTTAATAGTCTTCCACAATCCTCTCTCCTCTGCTATATGTTCAGTAAATGAAACAATTTGAAAAAAAAATCACCCCTATACTGCCATTTTATTAACTTATATATATATATAGCTCCACATGCTGCGCATTTAAATAAAAGTGTATCTCAAAAGTACAACAGCATTTTTGCTAAATTCAAAGCAGAACTGATCCATAATAGTATGTCTTTCTTCACATGTAAGCCCAGAAGATAATTAGAAAACGTATACATGAAACATATATAAATAAAAGTCCCAGAAATGAGGAATTTGTCTGTGCTATCTTCCAAAAGAACTTCCTCTAGTCTGAATAGTATTTCATCTGCTTATCCTTTTCCAGTCCTACATATTTGGCCTCCACATACAAACATGTAGATGACACAGCCAGACCACTCAATAAAACACTGAAGACATCAAATATCTGTAAAACTAGAAATTAAAGACAAGGCAACAAAATAAGATGTACTTCTCCTTATAGATATAATTTACTGCAATCAGTAATTTGAGACTTATTGCAGAAAGGTGAGTAAACTTCTCTACAGGTATCTATCCTCTACAGAGCTGAGATTAATCCCCAGAAAACCAATTTAAAAGGTATAGCTATTGCCTCATTCATTTAGTGATTCAGTGGCATTGCCTTTTCTCCTCCGCTCAGCCCATCTCTGCGCATGACATTGTTTACTATCCTCTATCCTGAACTTTTTTCCTCTTCACACCCATTGCTTCACTACTCAAAAGTGATCCAGAGCACACAATAGCATTCCTGTTCTAATGTTATTCTCACTTTTTATTTCTCTCCATTTGAGAATCCTTCTAAAGATACTGTCCTCTAAGACGACTGTCCCATACAACCAGAGAAAAAAGACAAGCCCTGCTCCTTTTCCCAAGTCTAAAAATGGATACTGGTCACAGTTGCATATCCAACTGATCTGATTAAAACACAGCTACATCTTTCTGATATGAGCAGCACTCTAGTATTTCAAATTGCTCTGTTCCAAGCAGATAACGAAGATTAGAAGCAGTTATTACAGAATCACATAATTGCAGTGGTTGGAAGGGATCACAAGAGACTACTGAGTCCATCCCCCTTCCTAAAGCAGGGTCCCTAACTGTTTGTCACACAGTTATTATTTTGGACTCATGATTAGCTTTTGGTAAGGCATCTGTGCATAATCAATCACAGTGTCACTGTATCATCTAACATCATGATTTTCACAGGTTTTCTCTGTACTGCATACTCCAATGACAGTGAGCAGGATATTTCACACAGAAATACAAAGAAACATCAGAATAGATATTCTCAAACAATCTGCTCAGATCCCAGTACCTCACAGCCACAGACACCACATGTGGTAACAGGGCAGCAGCAACTGAGGGCTTCACAGCTGGCCAGGAACTAGCAGGATGCAGATGCAGCCCACTGCCTCCACCTCCCCTCTCATCTGGAGATATTCAGAAGGTATTTCTGGGCCCACAGCTTCCACTGATCCTCAGCAGACAGAGAAGCAACAGCACTCCACAACCTCCAAAGGGAAATCAAAGATGGATATCTGGCAGGTGAGAGGAGTAATGATTAATGCTTTTTTAACGTGCCTTTTGTCACTAGTAGCATACACACTATGCTTTAAGACCTCTTCTAATACACATTTGAATGTATGTGAATATAGGTTATTACTTTCCTATTTTTTCCCCATCCTTCAAACAATCAAAACACTGATCATCTCATGATTCAATCCTACTGTTTACACTTAGTAAGTTAGTGTTATTGTTTGCTTGATTTTCAGAAATGTATAACAGAGGGTAAAAATATACGCATATCATCTATAATTGAACAATATGCATTTTTCCTCTTCTGAGTCTTCATGAATTTTATGTATTGAATGAAGTCGCTTTTCAAACAATGTATTTATTTTTACCACTCAAAAATTCCAAAGCCTACAACACTAGGATTTCAGTCTCACCTTCCAAATTTAAATAAAAAAACCCTTAAAGACAATCAATATGCTTTATTACCATAATAACTACAAAAAAAATGTTGATAGTTATTGTAAGTTCATCCTTTGTTTTACATCCAGTATTCATATTCCTTAGTTGTTTATCTCTAGAAAAGAGAAAACTACAAAAATTTAAGAAAGCACTGAAATTCCCATCCAAATGGGATGACTTTTGAATAAAGCATAATCTGGAGATTTCTGACAACTTGTAGAAGGAATTTATTTAACACGTCAATTCAGGTTAAGTTCATATTGTTGAATTTTACAGGAACAGTTATTGTCACGAGAATAGGGGAAGGCAACAAATATATTGAAAGTAAGCTGACTAGAGCATGCACTGAAATAGCCACATAAGATTGTCCAGAAAAGTTACTGTCAGCCTGATCTTGAAACCACAATACAAGCATAAACTTTTTTTTCCAGTGATACTAAGACAAAAATCAAAAGATTCTGCAGTCACAAAAAACCTCACATCTGTCAAAATTCACCTGCCTATTTATGCTACGTTAATTCTTTTTCTAAGCTTCATTTCCAAATGTGTTTCTCCTCTTCACATATCTAAAATTATTTTTCCATTTTCAAATGTTGACAATACTCAAGAAACCAGTTGCTTCTTCATTTCCCCTATAGTCTAAACAAACACTCTCTGATAATTTTATTAAAGAAAGCCCTCCAATACATACTCCATGTTAACTTATTTTGTAAAACCTGAGATTATATTTGCAGTATTTTGGTTTCCAGTCTAAAATTGTGCTCTTTACTCATTAAGCAGTTTGGTGATTTAATTATACTTCAAGTTTGGCAGTCTTTGTTTTCAGACGAAAAATTAATTTGACCTTATTTGAGCCCTTAAAATTAATCTTCGTTCATTCCAAACTTAATAGAAGATTGGAACCAACAACTATCATATTTCTATGAAGCTGTCTACTTTTCAGAGTAGAAGTTAGATAAATCTAGAACAAAAACAACATAAAGCTTGAGTCTGTATTGACCTAGCAGAAATTACCTGCAGTCCCTGAAGATAAGATTGTTTTCTAAAACAAGCAAGATCATTTTATAAAGAAAGATTTTCATCCAATTCCCATATGATTCTTTTAAATCTCATCTCTACAGTTGCAAAGAGTAAACTGACTTGTGAGACAAAACACTTAATTCAGAAATTAAGTGTCAATCAAAACTGAAATTAAGTCCAATTTGGAAAAAGAAGATAAACCAAATAGCTGCTTCTCTACATTCATGGTTTTTGTAACTCCTTTGTATTAGTGTCATTGTCCAGTGACTTGAGTAATTATAAAACAAAAACAGGAAGTGATACTGTGTTAATAAAACAAATATTCCCATCAGTTTTCCCCCTTATCTATAACTTAGTTGCAAGGACAATTAAAATGCAAGTATTTGCACCTCTGAAATTTGAATTGAGACAGAAAGCACAAGTTTCTTTAAGCAAGATCACTATTGCTAAATGTAGCAGTGATCTGTGGTAAAGTAGCAGTAATTTTCTGAAGTCGAAGTACACTATTGATGATTTAAGCTCCGCAACTTGATCTAACAGCAAGAAAACACTTCAACAACTTTTTTTTGCTTCTGTGAGAAAAAAGTTTTTATCTCAGTATAAGATTCCTATTTCTCTTTTTACTTGATTTTTAGAGAAAAGATTTTGTATTGCACTTCTTCCATTGTGCTTGCTTCCCAACATACCAATTTTAAATGCCTAGTTTTCTGTCAGCTCTATAAAAAAACAACACAAAACCCTGAGGATGATGTGAGAGGTTTCATAGTCCACTCCAGACAGCAACAAAGCAGACTACCTAGGCCAGGAACCATTCACTTCGATCCAAATAAACAAATATTTTTTTCAGATTGCTACTCCTCAGGTTTTTTAGTTGCATCAAACCCTGTCCATGTTGAGTTCACAATCATGAAGTAACTTGAAAAGTTGAAGTAACAGCATACCCTGAAGCAGACTATGACCTTCACTTATAAATAAGCTCAAAGAAAGCAACCTTTTTAAGGTTCACGCCAATGACTGAAATATTCTTGGTTTTCTTGCAGCTAGTAAGAACTAGCTTTTTAGAGCTTTGGAAAGCAGCGATACAAATAAGAGATTAATCATCATCATGCAACAGAATCAATCACTTAAAATGCAAATTTCTAACCTCATCAGTTTGGGAACTATTTGAGCTCCGTAAGTTCAATTTCCTGTTATAATTGAATATATTTAATCACCTATGGGTTCAGTTACACCTATCATTTTAAAACAGGAGCGATCCCTGAAGAAACTTGAAATGATAGGTAATGTAGAACACAAGATCGTAAAGAGACTTTGTTGGTCGTTGAGACCATTCCCTTGCCAGTGCTAGAGCAGATAAACACATCACAAAACCAATTGATCAAGCTTTATTTTGAAAGATACTCATTTTATACTATTGGTTGTTTCCACTTTTTTCTCTCCTATTGTGATTCATCTTTCTCCTTTCCTAAAATGCCAAATCCAGATTCTAAAAATAAAAGTGAATTTTGTTTTATCTTGAATATTTAAAACATAAAAATTAAACAAAACACTATTTGTGTAACTGTAATTCCTTAAGTAAATCACTTCTTTAAAGGGAAAAAAATAATAATTATAGGAGACAAAAAAAAATTGAAAGTGAAGAAAATTAAGACAAACTCTTTCACTCTGCATAAGTTTCTGTTTAGTTCAGGTTTTTTGTGAGTCTAGTTACTATCATCTTCTAGTAAGAATTTCGCATCTTTTTTCAAGTCTCTATCACAAGTTTCTTCTCCTTTACTCTTGTTCCAGAAAATTATGTTTTTTGAGAACAAGTTTTTCTTTTGAGCATAACTTATTAACACTGCAAAGTACCCTGATAAAAATGGAAAAGGAAAAGATACATTTATAACCAAAACATCAGATATCATCTGATTTACCTCATCACACACAGCTTAACAGCATCAGATTTCTCTATCCACGCTTTTATCCACTGCACAAGATTATTTCTAACAGCTGAACCACTTGCAAACCTAGACTAGGTTTTCTCTAACTTTTACTTGTATGTCCAACAGATATCACTACTGTTAAGACATCTCATCTGCATTTATTGCTTCTATATTTTCAAGCAAATATTTTCAGGTAAATAAAAATACTATAATACAGCTGACTGCAAATGTGGATTTTCAGCTTTGACTGAAATGTTGAGATTCCAAAATGTAATTCCTCCCTACAGTAAGATAAGCGTTCACTTCCACAAAAAGTTTATATCTTACATTTAGTGAGCATGTATAACATGATGGAAAGCACAACAACAACAACAGCAGCAACAGAGCAGCAAGATCGCAGCCAGCAGTGGGCAAGGGATTCATTCATTCAAACATGACAGCAGAAGGCACTAAGAGAGTAGGGAAAGGAGAAAATAAATAAATAAAATAAAAAACACACCTAGAAAAAGCTAAGAAGCTGCTTACCTTCAGAAGACCTCAGGTAGAGACAGATATCCAAAGAGATAACCTTGGCTCCTACCGCCAGTCCTCCTTAAATTAAGTCTGGAAAGGGGTGGATCCTGACTCCACCCCTTCTGGTCTCCTGGGTTGGCTCCGCCTTCCCACTAGGTGCTCAATTACTGTTTCAAGCTGTGACTCAGCGTTTTCACAATAGCGTGTTATAAATATTCTTGTATGTAACTACATGTCTATGAATAACAGGTGTAGAAAACCTTTTCAGCATTTGTATTTTCTTTTAAAATTATCATCATGAAAAAGTGTAAGCTAAACATTTTTTTATATATCAAAAATAGTAAGAAAATACAGTTTTATTGAATCCTCATTTTCCTCCAGAAAATTTTTAGCCAGTTGTAATCTTGAATTACAAAATTGTTAAGTGTCTGATGCAAGTCTAGGAAACAAGTTCATACCAGATGCTATACATTACAGTTGTAACTGAGAAATGTATACATATTTTTATCTGCAACATCAAAAAGTTTTTGACCAATTCTTCAATTAAAACTTGGAATCAAGTCTCATAATATTGTGTGATGAAATACTCAAATTTTCTCAATCAATTTAAGTGAAAACTTCAATATAAAGCCAAAATTTAGTTTGGAAATGTGTGTATAAACAATAAATAATATGCAAGCATATTTAACTTGCTGCTAATTTTAAAGATTATAAAATACTAAGTATTTATATAATATGATCAGTTAACAGTCCACAGGGACTTCTTTATCACAAGCTAACAGAAGCAAACATCTCTAGTGCCTGTCTAAATTATGTCTCACTATACAAAATTAAATCTGGCAGAATAATCCACTTGAAATACCAGTCATTGTTATGGATTAATTCAGGTAACTTTAGCAGCTTTGTTGCATTGTTTTTATAGATAGTAAATTTAATTTTATTTCCATTGTTTCAAGTTAAATTTTTGTGACTCATAAGCAGAATTGCAAAGTTCAGCTGATTTTATGAACAATTACAAATGATTTACAAATGCCAAACTCATTGTGTTTGTTGTTATGGTTTTCTTCACCTGCTGCTGTATTCTAAGTATCTGAAGATAGACCTTAAAAAATAAACTATATTGTACTAATCTTCTCAAGAGTGCTAACAGTGAAAAGAAATACCTGTTTTACTGTATAACCTATTCCACTTGTAAAATGTCATGTCTTCTGCAGTCAGTAACTATCACATAGTTCTATCCATTATTTTTAGACTTATATTTTAAAAAGTTTAACAAAACTAAAGAAAAAAAAACAATCTCTAACATCTTTTTTTTTTAATAGATGACAAATGGCATTATATATGAATCATCCAGGTGAATGAGTTTTTTTGCATCACATTACTCATATCACTCTGTTGATGCTTCATGAAGAGCTCTGATTGGATGTTCTATGTAGAAGCATAAGTACCTTTCCCACCATGGTGGGAAACATGTAAGACCTGTTGTCCGGAATTAGACTTCTTTCAAATAACCTATCATTACTAGAAAACAAGAACATCAAAACTGTTTCAGCCATATGTTGGAGTGTTAGAGCTTATGAAACAGTTTGAGAAAACATAACTATAGATAAAAGGTACACGAATTAAAATAACCAGGCAGGAAGAGAGGCAGCTACCACAGAAATAAAAGTACTGGGAAACAGGTGGTTTCTTATTCTTTTTATATGTGTTAGTCAAGATATGAGGCCAAATGTAGGTTGTTATATTCAGTATGAACATTAATTTAATAGGTCACAATGTTGTGATTGTGCTTGTTCCCAATGCTTGTTCCAAGCAGAAAAAATGGCACACGTTGACATTCACTGATGCTTACTTAAAGTTTATGGAGACCAAAAAGTGAACGTGAGCACAGCACAGCAGGAGTGCGTTTCAGCAGTGGTGACAGCAATGTGAAAAACAAGCCATGTTCTGGATAGCCATGCACAGCTAATACACAACAAAATGAACTTTTCAATCAGCTCATCTGTGCAAGTTGGCTAATAACAATGACTGTCTTGAAAAAGAGTATTTTGTAGCTGACAATTTGCTCTATTATAAATATTGTAACTGAGCTCTTTATATCTGTTGTAGGAGGAATTACTTTCTACTCCAAATGTAAAAACTTGGTATCCTTTTTCAATAGCCTAAATATCATTCTTGCTTGTAGGTCAGTTTTCTCTTTAGAGTTTTCCTTCAGTTTAAGGCAGTAGTGAGTCCTTTGATTCACCTTCATCTTTTGCTCTGTTCGTGTCCTCAGAATTTCATCTGGCTGTAACTACCAATATTTTTTTTCCCATTGCTTCCACTAAACACCCTTCTTGAAAATTACATAGAGATACAAGATTTCTCTTTTTTCAAGCCTATGAAAATCAGTAGAAAGATGTATATTAATTTAAAATGGTTTTGTATTGAGCCTATATTAATATTACATCTACAAAATTATGTTGCCTAGTGATAATCTGAGCTGAGACTTCTCAGCTGTAAAGGAGCTAGCTGCTGTTTTACATTCTAATGTTGCACAGCACTTCAAAGGAGGAGGACTGTGCTCTTACAGGTTGCTTATATTTGAAGCTCCTATTTGACATGGTATATTACATGGTTCTAGTGAATTCCGTTTATTCTCATTTATGGAAGAAACTAATAGTATATTAATGATACTCAAGGTGTCATTTAGAGATCAGGTAGAAGCCTGCAGAGTCATTCTTAATTATAGGGACAGAAACAAAATGTCATCAGATGAAAAATGATCCTGATATTATCAACAGTTTCTTCCAAATAACCATATTATTTCTGAATGAGGATAAATTATATTTTTCCATGCAAAATATGAAGAGCAGTAAAAAGAATCATAATAAACTTTTCTATTTAAATTGTCCAATTAGTTCAGATACTAAATGACGTACTAGGTTAAGCTGTATATAGCAGGATAGCAATGAACGAGTTTTTTCTCTAACCTTTCAGTAGTGCATTACCCATATGCATTTCTAAATAGTAGCTAATATCACTCATTTTTTCTCTTTCTATTACAATTGTTATAGAAAGAATAAGAATTTATTGCAAGTTAGTAGAGAAAGAAAGCTGAAAAGAAAGCTGAAAGAGAATTGAGGCAAAGACAAAGGACAAGAGAACTCTATCAGGGAAGAAGAAAATAAGCTATATGATTGACTAGAAGTGTATTAGGGTTTGATTTTCATTTTTATGCACGGCTTGGTATGATAAAGGTAACACATTGAAAAGCACTGCAATTCCACAAAAGCACTGAATATCAAGGTGGCTAAAGTGCACCTCTTTAATTGCCATCTCATGTTACAATATGTATGGGTTGCTCTGAAAGTAATGCCTCCTATTCATTTCCATGGAAAATACAACAGATACACAGAGTGCAATAACACTAATTGACAGAGCAAATTCTCACCTACAAAACAATCTTTTTCAATATTGTCACTGCCATTTTCAACAGTGACGAACAAGAGCCAGCAGGTCACACTTGTAAGAACCTGCACCACTGGAAGTGACCACTACCACTACTGCTAAAATGCACCATCCACTGCCTCAGTATGCACACATCCACTGGTCAGCCTCTGCATAAATGTTCAGCAAGTGTCAATGAATGTCAACAGGTGCCATTTTTTCAACTTGGAGGAATTCAGTGACACACTTTTGCTTCTTCTGCACTTCCATGATGAGTACATGTCATACGGCCCCTCTGCTGCCATCTGTCACACAGAAACAAAATGTAACAGCATACTGGTGGGAAGGTTCAACCTCTACTGCTGTGTCACCAACATCTTTTTCTGATGTGGAACAAAATAAGAAAATAGGAGGCACTACTTTTGGAGCAGCCCTAGCAGATTTCCACTTAAAATGTTCAACACAGTTTTCAGAAGATTAGGCTTCAGCTTCTGCTCTGTCATTAGTTTTCTGTATGACTTTAGGAAAGTTGGTTTATTTCTTAGTGTTTAGTTTAACTTCATGTTTTGTTTGCTTGATTGTTACATTTTGTCTAACATTATTTGTTTATGTTGGGCATAGATTTAGGCAAAGATGTTTTCTCAGAATGCATGCATTGTTTTATAAGAAAGGGCCCTTGCTTTGATTGACTGCAGTAACAGTTTAATAGTAATTCATCCAAACCGCCAGCTTCGTGTTACTACAGAAATTCTATAAGAATGCTAAAGACAAACAGCCACAATATATAACAATCCAGTTCTTTTTCTTATGAATTACTGCATAGTGAAAATGAAATAAAATTAATATATTATTTTCTCCCATTGCTTCTTTTTGAATGTAATCTCAAAACACAATTTTTCAGCCCAATATAACAGATGGAACCCATTCTCACTGAGAAAACTAACTCTCTGCCCCAAGAAAGTAACAACATATCTCAAAAAAATAACAGCATTTAACTGAGGGGTAAAATGAACTAGAGAATACAGTACCTTTGGCATTTACATTGTTAGCAAACATGCTGTCATTCTCCTTAATAAATACTTTTGTTTATACATTATTGGAATTACTACAAAAAACTTATGAAAATTACTAGGTTCACTGATGTTCCTCCTGGTTTACAATTTGACATAAGACCTGTAAGATATTAACAGAAGTGCTTCATTAGACCTCAGTGGCTTTTGGATCAGGATTATGCAGCACAAAAGTGAAAACATCCTTAAAATGTTCTGAACTGTGAAATGCAGCTGTAGTGAAAGCCTTAAATATGTTTTTGTACATGAGTAGAAGTTGTTTCGATTAGAAAAGCATTTATCTCCTAAAGCTGCATCACCAGGTATGCATACATTCGGATTTTTGCAGATGTTTATCTTCTTTTGCTTCAGCTATCACCAGGAAACAGCAAGCACGTTATTAAATGCTCAGGAGGGAGTCTTCTTGGTGGTTTGTGTGCCCAGTGGACCCCAGAATCCAGTAAGAGTTTTCTTGTACTGCCACATGCTCAATACAAATGGCCTCTTCAGAAAATGCATTGGCAGGTACACACTAGCCCATATTTAGCAGGAGTTAGCAGTATTTTTTCCAGGAGTTTGTAAGTTACTCAAATGAAGGTGT